CTACGGGTTTTTAACGTTGCCATATTCATACCATCAAGAATTTGTTGATAAGTGATTTTATTCGTTATCCAACAGATATTCAGGTGTATAAGTATGAGAAGTTCATATAAAATTTGGTTAATACATTATTTAACATCTTACGAAAAGATTTTTTTAAATTCTCTGCAGATACAATAGGGACTGAAGAAACACCATTGTTTGTTGTATACTAAGTTTAATCGAAATATGTTTAACAAGTGTCACCAATAAATTTTTTTTAAGGAAATAAAATTCTTGATTGAATCAGTTTACTTTCACACAACACTACGAGTGTAGCTCATTCTTTACGAGACACTCTGTATATGTCAGATTCTGAAAAACAGTATCAGCCGCCAAACAGAGCCCAGGGGGGTATATCTTTAAAAAAAGAAATGTAGCACAAATCTTATTTTCATCAACAGAGAATGAAAGTTTTTGGTCACAAAAAAATGTTATTATACCTTCGCAATTGTTTATTTTGAAAGGATACAGCTATAATTTGCGAATTAAGAACAGGAACATAGCGTAAATGGAGAAATTTGCTGTTTGCAACTTGAAAGAATGTTAGGTTCTTGAGTCTTGGGCGGATTCCGGTGGTTATACAATTATTTTTACATGTTTATCCGTTCAGACCTAACTGTCGTTGACCTAAAATTTTTGAAAGTTGTACTGGCGTATCACACTTATGTATGGTCGCATTATATAATGAACATATTTAATACTGACGATTTTATCGTTGTCTGACGAATTAAATGATTTCCATTATTTTCTAAAATTTACTTTCCAATTTGTATTTTATACTATTAATTGCGAGATTAATTGTCTAGTAGTAAATTATGTTTATTGCAATTCCACTATTTAAAACAAATTAGTGAAATAGTTTATTTACTATTCTTTCAATATTTAGTTTCTAATTCAAGAATTTCAGTTGATCTCTGAAGAGATTTTTCTGTTATCAATAATAATATTAAAATATTTTAAAATACCTAGTTTTCCTATTAATCAAATACTTACAATCAAATATTCAAATAATTCATAGGCAACTTGCCTACAAATTTAATTCCTTTTAGTATAACATAAATTTGTAGTCAATAACTCATTGTGACGTCATTTAGTGCGACTGAGAACACAGTCTGCTTCTTGGAGCATGTGTGATTCTTATGTGTCGTAGACATAGATAGATAACTTTAATGGAATAATATTTACGAATTAAGTCGTTTTCATATGTTTTGCAAACAGAAAAATCTAACCTAAACGAAGTTATCAGATTAATTTTTTTATAAAGATTTAAGAAAAGAGTGCACTGGGATCCTCAAAGCAAAGTGTATTAGCTGTCTCTAGTCATTAATCTAGTCTACAATTCCCACACCGATGATATGGATATTCTAATATGTTCACTACATAATTATGTAAGCTTATAGATTATTTCTAGAAATTTAAGAAATATATGCAAGTTATAGTTCCTGAATCTGCAAATGCTCATTTTGGTCAGGAATAAATTCGAATAAATTAGTTTATCGCCAGGCGCCTTCAAATTTAAGTTATAACTAATTAATATTTTCAGTGTCCTACTAGTCTATTATTTTGCAGTAATAAGTTATAAATACATATATATATAACGGCTTAAAATAAATATTTAGAAACGTAACGATAAAACCAAATCGATTAAACAATATAAATTACAAGTAGTAACATTTATAACGTCAATAAAATCAAATTAAATATCAAACAAGTGATATGTACAAAAGTTATATGTAGGTAAAAAAGTTTTCGAATTAAATACACAACATGTTAGTAGAACATTAAATTGAAGGAATCACGGGTGTTATATGATAATAATTCTTTCTGTACGTCCGTACATTATCGCCCTTGACGCATTTATAGATACTCCTAGAATTGCTGTAACGTAATTTTTCACTTTTTAAATGCACTGAGCTAACGCTCTTGTACTTTTTTCTGAATAACTTCCACACCTTTTCAATTGAAAGGCATGTTTGCTCCATAGAAGTTACATGAAGCATTTGCAAATGCTTATTGTACCGTCTTTTCAGTCTTTCAAAAGTTTCTGGTGGTTTCACGCCTTCCTTCGTACGGAATACAATAATAATGGATTTTTCCACGCTGGAATGCACTTTTACTATACCTATTCATATTTGTTAATCATTTTATTGCTGAATACAGAGCCAGTTGTTCCAGGTAGTGTCTGAAAGTTTAATATTTTTTTTTATGTCGGCATATTTGCTTAGGGTGTAATATTTTCTCAAGTTTTGTAAATGTAGATATTTCAATTACTGTCAATAACAATAGGAACATGAAATAAATATCAAAGAGGCAGGAGCAAAAAAAATATGACATTTATTTATTTATAACTATTAGTGTTATTACAGAAAGTGTTCACACACATCAAAATCAGGAAATTATTCCACCAAGTACATCATATTAATATAAAATAATTATTGAAAGACATGTAAGAGTGTATAGAACATAATACTCATAATAGTATACAGAGAAAAATAAAGTAACAACATCATATAGGGACCGTGCAATAATACAAGTAAATGATTTAAAATGAGATAAAAATTATATGAATTAAAATACAAATGTAATATAAAAGTAACACAATTAAAAAAGAACAATAAATTAAATATGGCTAAAATCACTTCTTAAAAACTGTTCAATATTATAAAAGGCACTCCTAGTCTGAAAAATATTTAAGTTATGTTTTATGTATAGCAAACATGGCAATATGAACATTGATGGAACTGTTAGAATATTAAATTTAATAAATTTATTTTGCTGTCATTTCTATAACTAAGACCTGAGATAATCCTAATTGCTCTTCTCTGCTGCGCGAACACATTCACAGCAGAAGTAGCATGACCCCACCCCCACCCAATAATGTATACGATATGTGAGAATGAATACAACCATAATATGCTGTCACTTAGGCCTTACTTGCAAGACTACGAAGTACATGTTCTTCGACATTTTTTGCGAGTGTAATTAGTATGCTGTTATTGCTGTTCCCAAATCATTGTAGAATCCAGATAAATTCCCAAGAATTTAACAGCTCAGAGTTAGTCCCACACTCAATCTTTCGCAATGAAAATGTCATGGTCTAGGACTTGTTTAAGCAAAGCTTATTAGCGGTAAACCATTAACACTTAACTGAGTCTGAGAGATTATATTAATTAAATCTAAGAATATTTCACTTCTTACTGACAGACATGTGTCATCAGCAAACAAAATTCCCAGAACATCATTATCCAACTAGTTAAGTAGGTCAATAATATAGGTTAAAAATAGTATGGGTCCCAGTTTTGATCCCTGGGGTACTCCGTGTAAACCCATAAAATTGTAGCTTTCTAACAAGAATATTATGAGATACACAATCAAATGCTTTTGTCAAGTCTAAGAACTGTGTAGCTATATATTCACCATTTTCAAAACCTTCATTGATATATGAAACAAGTTTATTCATAGCCAATGTGGTAGAGCAGTCTTTGCAAACACCATACTGATTTGAATTCGCAATACCATGGATGTCAAAATAAGGTAATTTGTAATTTCAATATAGACTCATAAATTATTGCAAAATGTGGAATTATGGATATGGGTCTACAATTGGAAGGATCATTTACGTTATTCTTTTTATATATTGGTATAGTCTTTCCGAAGTCAGTTGAACATGCAAAAAAAGTCTAGTAATAAAATAATAGGCGTCCCTAAAAAAAATTTCTGCTAAAGGTAAAAATTTATAATAACTTGTGTATAATGTGTAGAAAATTTCTATTATATGTTCATTTGGCCAACAACATATTTTAATTGTTTATGTCCTTAAACAATTTTATTATATTGGTGGTAAATTTCGTTTTGTTCCGTTTCAAATGGTCTCCAAAATGTCATGTTGTGATAATATTAGTAAACAAAATATCCCTCTTATTTCCTTTCGCAATTGTAATATGAATGATTTATAGGTGCCTATAATAAATTAAAATTATCTGAATCACACCAAATTCCGCATTGCTGCACTGCACTGCTGGGCAATTTATCAACCACTTGTCATCTGCTGTGATTTTTTGCCCAGTAGCCCAATGCAACTGTGATCGTTTTCCTTTGTCCGCGCTCGCATTCCTCAACTGAGCGTATACATTTCTATCGCCTCCACGTTTAGTTTGACCAGGCTTGTATATGGGTATGGTTAAATAAATATGGGAACAAGTTTTTCAAATATTTCAATGCCGAGTTGCTGCGTCAGCGACCGACCCTGGTACATACTATCAATCTGTTGGTTCTTCAATTGATATCGGAAATACTATACTACTCTAGCAATTTTTAGAGAGTCTGGAAAAATACTAGAACTGGTACTACGGTTAATTAAGTTAGTAATTGGGATTAGTATTGAATTCATTATACTTTTCACTATTTGCGTATTTAGGTTATAAACATCTTCACAGTTTTTATTTTTTAAAGCCATAATGACATTGGCTACTTCCCAGGGTGTTACCTCCATAAATTGAAATTTATTTTCTCCACCACTACTATGTAGGTATTCCGTAAATTGCAGATTACAAGTACTTAAATTAAAGACATGCAGTGTGCCGCAAGTGGCGCTCCCTAATAAATAACAGCAAAATTATTATCGGATTAAAATTCGTCACTCCAAAGAACCTATAAGCCCCACAATGCTATATACGTAATTTTATAAACGTGTTAAAAAATAATGAAAACAATGTTTCACTTTTATATCCTGTATCTTTTTAAGTAGGAATTAAATTTTGGACTAAAGTAAGTTTGGTTAATCGCAATATTTGAGTGTGTAGAATCCGTAGTTGCTTCAAGTATGCAAAAAAATTTGGAAGTTACACGATTGCTCTACAAACTACGCAGAACATCCCTAGTTAGTTCTTTCTTCAAAAACTTTTTACTTTTTTGCATTTTGTACCAAAAATGACTACGCACGACCTATTTTTTACAACAAAATGTACCAAATCCGTTACAACTGCACCCCCTCTGACGACACTGATCGAAACACGCCATCTGACATGCGTTTCGCCCTTGCCCTTCCTCAGTTCATTCCCGGCGCATTGACCGGCGTGGGTCACCGCAACTCGCGCCGGCCAATCACCGCCGCCTTTAGCACGTGCTCGCCCTTATCCGACCACTATCTTTACAGGGACGGCGGCGGAGACGGCGGAGAGAGGCGCGTCGGCTCCCGACGCGTGCCCAGCCTGCGCCTAGCGAACGGCCGGGTGGCCGCGGCTCAGTCCGAAGAAGAGATCCGCTCGCCGCCACCGCGCCGCCTAGCCAAGGATGACTCGATCAAGATCAGCATCGAGAACACCAACACGTGCACCGACTCGCTGGTGACCGCGCTCGATGACGAGACCCTGCTCATCGCGGACTACTTCTCCAACGACATGAATTACAAGGGTAAGTGGACGGCTTCGCCGTGGCTTTGCATGTTCAATTCTTGTGCTGGGTTTCCGTTATATTTCGGAATATAACAATTAAGATTAATTATAAGAATTAGATAAAAATACAATACTACAAAACATTTTATGTCAATGGGTAGAAATAAATTTAACTTCAATTTCTTTAAAATACAAATTTTGAATAAATCTTTTTCTTAGTGCAGTGATATAAGGTTTGATAGATCTAACTTAATAATAAGGGAAATATGACCAAAGAGATATATTTATAATACAGGGTGTTTCTTAATAACGTGCTAGTAATTAAGGAGGTTATTCTTGGATCCATTTTAAGAAAAAAGCTTCATATGAACATATATCCTAAAAGTCTTAATTTTTGAACTACAGGGTGCTAAAGTGACCGGATTCCAAGATTGCATGTGGGTTTTCTTCAGCCCAAATGTGATTGTTGTGGAAGTTTTGCATGGCGTTTCTGGAAAAGTTGGCTTCATCGATTAATAAAATTTCAGTGTCAAATAATGGATTTTCATTCACTTTATGAAGAAACCATTGGCAAATGTTTATCCATAATGGAAAGTCGCGAGGTAGTAGAACCCGTTGGATATGGTAGGGATATAATAAAAAGTTATGAAGAATTTTCCAAATAAGAATATGTGAGACATTCAAATTTTTCCCAATTTTTCTTGTACTTAGTGCTGGATCTTCCTCAATTGAATTCAAAACCGCTATCTCAATTTCTGGGGTTCTTAGAGTACGGTGTACTCCTTTTAGATGATTGTCTGGTTTAAAACTTGCCTTTTCGCACAATCTTCTATGAATGTTTGAAAATGTTAGCGCATCCTGAATATTTATATTTGGAAAGCGGTCTTCACACAACCGTCTGGCTTCCAGTGCGTTACCATCAGCAAGCCCATACATTAGCGCATTTCTGCAACTCCAATATCTGATATAATTTATTTCTTTATGCGTTTAGGTTAATTTTCTTTTACCGTTCCAAAATGTGTGTAGATCACTGTAATTTCATAATTTCAACGTTTAAAAGTTATTATCTTAAATAAATTATTGTTCAAAGTTACATACTTAAGTCTTTTTTTTCTTTCTCGTAAGTGGTCCAATAAGATGCATATGAATGAATTTTATTTTTTTATGCCAAAACCGTTTGCTAAACAAAAACAATTCAAGACACCACATTTGCTCAGAAAGGAATGATAATTTCAAAATTGATTTTTACTTTAAGAAAAAGCAGTAGTGTAACATATTTTTCTTCAAAAATATTCAATACAAAACCTGTATAGATGCCACTGGCAAAAATATTAAAATTGTTTGTACATCAAAAAATGCATCTCGATGAATAGAAAGGCGTGTACCAAATTTGAAAAAATATCTAGGGTAATACCAAAGTTGTCATAAAAAAATGTTTTTTCATAGCACCCTGTAATTCAAAAGTTAATACTTTTAGGACATATGTTCATATGGAGTTTTTTTCTTAAAATGGATCCAAGAATAACCTTAAATATTAGCACGTTATTAAGAAACATCCTGTATAATCTAATATTAATAATATTAACATAATTTCTTTTCAACGCGTGTTCCATAAAAATTAAGTTGTTTTTGTTTTTACGCTTTGTAACATTCATTTGTTTAGTTTAACGAGTCCAAAAGGTAGTATGGGGAAAGCTCAAAAACTACTGTATTTTCTTTTCCTAAATCTTATAATAAATCGTCTGCCTAGGTCTCAAGAAGAAAATTATGACCCTGTATAGTGTCAAATTCGACCGGATTTAAGATTATCCCAACAGCTACTGAAGATAACAAAAAATAGTAAACGTTATCGGCCTTGGTTTTCTGAACAAAGTCAATATTAGATATTACACTGTAAATAAATCGGACTAATTGTAAGTGAAAGCAAGAATATCCTGAGTGTATCCATTGAGTGAAATTATTGGGTACACTTTCAGTCAATATTGGGCATTTTGATAAATTTACACATTTTTGTTAATTATTGAACTAAAACTGTTTCACTCATAAAATTTTAGTTGTACTCATATTAATAGAAGAAAATTGATTTCATTATTGTGTGAAATTGAGTGAAAATAAGCCCAATTTTTCTTACAGTGTGGTATTTTTTTCATAATTTTGACCACTTGTGTATCTACGCTGCTAGATTCGTTAGCATTAAATTAAAAAGTGCCTTATTATCATAGCCAACTATTTCTATTAAAAAATTAAATATATCTTACTTATGTGAGAACACTTTGTATTTCTTGTATTTTTAAAAATAACTATGACAAATTATACAAAGTGTCCCAAAAATATGTGCCAAAGCTTAACCCATTGGAAGTAACACCTTTTATTATTTTTTTTCCTCGAAAATCCCCTAGTTTAAAATTGTTGACTTTTGTTATCCTGTTTCTGTTTTTTAAAACAGAAAAATGTACCAATTTATTACCTTCCCAGTATATTTGAATCAGGTACCATTGATTATAAGAGTTTTGTTGTTGCTAGGTTGTTGCTATGTTACGTGTTTATAAACAGAATTGTTACTTGTTTATAAACAGAACTTTGTTATCAAGCTGTCTTTGCGTTAAAAACGTGTTTTCTACCCCAAATATAATGGAGCAGATTTTGAAAAAAGCTGAAAAAGCAAGAGAATCATTAATTCCATCGAAAAGTGAAGCCGTATACCATTTCATAAATATATACACATATGTATATTAGCATTTTTTATTTTATTTTTACTTGTGAAAGGTAGAGGGAATTATAGAATCTATAAAGTTCCAAGGGAGTTATGACTCTCTTTATTGATAGCGTAACTATGACGATATAAGCTTATAATATCCCGGTCAGAAATAAAATAAATAAGAAGCTCAAAAAATCGGAATTAGTGCTTGTAATTGCACTAACAACAAAATTTACGTTAGTGGATTGTTACTTATATTATTCGCAACTCTGGTATTCTTTTATTCATAGGCAGTTTTTCAATTTTGGTACAAAGGTAGGAGTGTGAATTTTTTAAAACATTCATTGAGTAAAATTTCTTGCTTTTTGAGTTAAACACGAAGTTATAATTTTGGCACTTATTTGTTGGACACACTGTATATGACTGGAAAAGAAAACTGATATCATTAATCGATTTTATGCAGAAAAAAGTAGTTTTTACCGAAGTACCTACTTAAATTCTCATTTAGCGGTAGAGATATGGATGTGGTTGAAAATGGCAAAACTTACGGTTAAATATGTCATGAAAATCGAGCTTCAGAACGTGTCACTTTTTTCTATCTTTGGTAGTTTCTCATGCCAGCTGAAATTTTATCGAATTAGACTCACCTTGTAGTTCAATTAGTTAGGGTTGGAAAATACTATTGGAATGTGCTAATACAGGTACGCTCTTTCTTAGACTTTAGTTTAGTGACACTAATAAATCTCGTCTATTTGACTATTATAACTTTTTTCTCTTGTAGAACATAACTATAACGTATTGATTTCCTATTTTTATTACTCTTCAATAAATATAGGGTGATCTATTTAAGAGCTCGAGTAATATCGATAATGCGTAAAATTATTTCAAATAACAGCAACCCAAATGGGATATTCTGTATATTGAAAACAATTTCTAATTATGAAAAAATTTATTATCTGGAACTTTTACTCGAAATACTTTTTTATATTATTGATATCATCAAAGTTATGGAAGAATATTTGTTAAATGGGATACCCGATACCCGATACCGGATACCGGATACCCGATGTATATGTTTTCTTAAAAGTGGAAAATCTTTAATATTGTGGACATGAAAATTTCAGTGAAAAAAGTACCTATGCTATAAATATCTAAATTCATCAAAATTTTGTTATAATTTGTTGCTTGTTCAAATTAACTTTTAGAGCTGCAATATTTAAGTCATTTACACATTCGGATATTTTTATGGGTTTTGGAAACTTTGTTTGTGTCGAACGTATTGGCAAATATTTTTAAAATATAAATGGGGTATATGTTTTAACTTCGATTCAAAATTACAATCTTTATTATTTGGACGCTACAATTAAATTCGAACGAAGCATAAAGCGTTCCTATTTGTATACTGAAAATTGTGACGTAACCAATTTCAGCAAGACGAGAAGCAGAACAATAGTAAGCTTAGAAAGTAAGTCTATTTGTTGCTTATTTTACTCCTGACCAATATGATGTCTGCTGAAACTACAGGAGTGACTGTATGGTTTGATTCAATCCATGTGTGGGAAAACATAAAAATATAAAGAAATAGTTTTAACATCTTATCAGTCACAAGAATAACTCATCTTTACTTTGTTTTGGGATCCGTGACAGATAACATTCAAATAAATACCGATGTCTTTAATATAATCTGTGGTAAAAAGTTCCTGTTGCCACAGATCTCGTATCAAATCATATGCAATGAGAATAAATTTTACTCTTTTTTTTTGCTCTTCCATACAGGAATGTTTTTATACACTCGTAATTTGTGTAGCACTGTTATAAATTCAAAATTAAAATGTTACTCTACCCATAGCAAAACTCTGTACATATACTTCCTTTCAGTATTATCTTAATGTTAATTTTAATTGTTTGTAATTATTTTTTTGATATTTTTTCTTACTTTTTATATTTAATCTAGTTTTTTGCAACACTGTGAAGATTTTTTTTAATCTAAAAGAATTAAAGGGTTGATTTTTGATTTTATATATTGACTTTTGCCTAATCATAAGTATCTCGCATTTGACTTTAAGTCAAGTTGAGTTTTGAGAAAAATAAACGTGCTATCGTTATCAGGCAAAACTAAATATATAAAGTCAACTCTTGACATCCTTCTGACGGGAGGGTTTATTTGTTAAAAAAATGTTTTTTTCAGAGTGGCAATAATACTCCAATTAAATAATTTTTTTATATCTGTTTTAGATAATTTTCATCTCTTTTACTTTAATGTTATTTTGCCATTTAACTATTTTTAAGTTCTTCTATCTTAGGCCACGCTTATTTTACTCGCTATGTTGCAGGCATTTAAATTAAAATCTATTTTCTATTTAATTCTCAGGTAGCGGCAAGGTGCACTTCGAGGTGGAGGATGTCTCGCTGTACGGCACCCCCAAAGAGGAGCCTGGGCCCACCCCCCTGGGCTCCTCCGAGGCCGGCAAGCAGAGTTTCATCAAGAATCAGCTGCAGGCCCTCTTCCAGCCCACCGACAACAAGCTGGCCATGAAACTGTTCGGATCGAAGAAGGCGTTGATGAAGGAGCGGATCAGACAGAAGGCCGCCGGACATTGGGTGATACATCCTTGCTCCAGCTTCCGGTGAGTTGTGTCTTGATATATTTTTTCTATCATAGTACTGCATGCGTATCGAAGGTTTGACATTCTTCCTGAGGGTTATTTAGAAACCAAACGGCGTGTTTTAAATTCGCCACTATCCATAAGCGGAGGATTGCAAGGAATACAATTTGCCATAATATTTTTTTTATTTTCATGTGGTGTAAAGAAAGTTGGACCATAATTTAGGTGCATCGTATTGGAAATTATATTCTCGACATTTTTTTTATTCGCTTAATCTGTAAAGTCAACCATTTGCCATATATTTGTAATCTTATATATTGTTCCTCGACAAGTATAACGTTCTATAACTTTTGAAATAAAAGTTTTTGCAGATTTTAAAAAATATTTTGTATAGTTTAGGTACACATAAAATGACATTAACCAGATTGACGGGGACGTTTCAGTTTAAACGGAAGTGTAATAAATTGCGTGAGTCTAAAGCCGGGTACACACTGAATGACGTCAACAATGTGAGCTAATTATGTTCACCAACAATATTCGCGAACTGTATAATAACATTTTCAAACTAATAATAAGTTTGTTCCCTAACGAAATTTAGTTTGCTTCACGTTCACTTTGACGCAAACAATAATTACTATGTAACTTTATTCGGTAACCCACGAACGATGTTTAAATTTTGACCAAGAGTCATAATAAAATGTGCTTAACAACGCTGTTCACTAATAAAGTTCAATGTAATGTGCAAACGATATTACGTTCTTACAATTTTTAGTAAATAATAATAATAATATAATAATATCTCTACTCCTCATTCTAACTACGAGAATTAGCCCATAAGTCGGAGACTTGTGCGGTAGAGGAGGCGGCATATTATTATTAAGCAGGCCGCTGTTGGTAGGCCCTAAACACCATTCAGTGCAGGAATGAGGGAAACCTGGAAAACCTCATTAATTAGGGGGGTGGTTAAATGCCAACCGGTGTCAATCTCCTCACATTGACCCAAGTCAACATTCTTCCACCCTACCATACCTGCACAGAGGGTGCCAATCCTCCGTACAAGCATAGCTAATCTACGGTCTACCGGCCGCGGGATTCGAAACCCGGGCAGATCGACACATCGATTTAAGTACTGACGCCTTAAACCGTGCGGCTATCGACCGCGTACTTTCAGAATTTTTTTTACAAAAATATTATATGGTATAGACAAGAAAATGCAATGGTTGCATGGTGATGAATAAAAGAATATAATTATTTGCATACAAGCATTAGATTTTTTTATATACCATTTTATTCCAGACCAGCCCTGTTACTTGATCGATTTGAAAAGGTAGAATTGTTATTTCGGTCAACATTTTTTCTTGGAGCATTATGTATTACTTTTTTACACCTACGTTAAGCTTAATGCTGGGGCCACACTTACGTCTAATGTCGTTAGTGATCGCACTATCTTGCACCACGACTTAGTGCTAATTTATCATCGTCATTATTAATGGCGTTAGACGTTAAGCGATAATACTAGTGGCGGTCTTTTTTTGACACATGCAAGCGATTTGCGCGTCATTTATCGCTTTGATGCGGCTACACTAGCATTGTCTATTGCAACGCATTAGAGCTTCGAGCATGGTTTAATACGGATGCATAAAAATGGTGTGGTCTAACGAAAAAATAATAGAGTTTTTAGAAGTGTTTCAAACGGATCCTAGACAAAAAGCATAAAATAATAATTGACGTTCATATAAAACAACTGTAAAGCGGCCTCAACCTCCATGATGAAATTATTTTATCAACTAACGCGTTATTTGTTGAGTAGACATCAAATACAAGTGTAGCTATTCACTTTATCGCGTAATTTAATCTATTATTTTTAACGCAATAATCATGGCGATAATGGACGTTACACGTTAACGTAAGTGGTGTGGCCTCAGCATAAGATTTGTTGCATTATGGTAGCAGTTACTGATTTTTTACTCTACTGTTTATAAATGTCACAAGAATAAAGTTGTTATTTATTCTTGTGCAAATGTCGTGAGATAAGCTAACTCGTTTTATTTTTCATTAAATTTTAAGAATTACAAAATTGAACTAAAAACAATCTAAAATTAAAGCAGATAATTTAATTCATAAAACTACACGATAAAGACTTCTTTATTTATTATTATTATATTACTATATCGTTAATCGCGACTAATTGTAAATCAAGCTGTTCGCTGTGAATGATATTTTGAATGAATAACTATCTAATTAGGCCAATTCCTTTTTCAGTGTAACCTAGAATTTTTATTATCCAAGTTGCCAAAATGTTTGAAATATCTATATTTTGCCTAAGAAATTAATTTAATTTATCTACGATCGTGTCAAGTTAAGACTTTTTAGATAATTTCTAGTTTTTATTGCACGATTCAGCATTTGATTTATAACACAGCTTCATAAAAAGAGTCTTGTGCAAATGACCAGAATACATTATTCCCATCTATTTTGAGCCGCTGAATTCGAATCCGATGTCACAATTTCCCCAGCATATCACTATAGCTTTCTAACATAAAAAAATGCTTTAAAAAACCACAAAATCGACAAATCAGCATTTAAAATGCAGGTATGATTTATCAGCGGTTGAAACTAGTGGTCAGATCTTTATATTCCCATGTATACATGGGGTCAAAACCCGCTGAACCCATAGGCCCATAGAGTCACAAATCCTTCCTAACTTTAAAAATCCACAAAATTAATAAATTAAATTCTATGATCGAGGCATGATTTAACAGCGACTGTATTCCCATGTATTTTGATCCGCTGAATCCGAATTCGATGTCAAAATTGCCGCAGCAAATAGCAGAATTTTCTAACCCGAAAAAATAGCTTGAAATCTCTAATATTATCGAATTTTAATGATAATGCTACAAATAATGCAAAAATATATTATTCCCATGAATTCAGTGCTATTTACAAAGACGTCTGGTGCGAAAATTTCTTGTCAGTGTGTTCAATTTTGCAATTAGCACGATTTTCAGTAAGAATTCTATCAACTCATATGTAACAGAAAAAAATCGAAATAGCGGCAACGATATTGTTTGAGATAATCTTAATTTTTAAACAATTTTTTTATGCTTTTACAAATTTAAATGCCTTTTTATTGAAAGCAGAAAAGGGGGGGGGGAAAGATTTTTCCAACCCAAAGTGAAATACACCGTGGCACAAAAATGTTTTGGCAGTTTCAATACGTCCTAATGGTCGCTTGTGGTACCCTCTACAAGATACAACGAAAATCGTTGATAAATTCGGATTTGTCGTCCGGATACGAAATTTCACGAAATTTGCTCGAAGTAGTCGAAATACCGCGTGTCCCCGTATTGGCTTAACTACTCTTGTAAAAAATAATATTTTTTATTTTTCGACAAAAAGTCATTCTTTGTAATAAAATTTTTGCTTGTCCTGAAACTTCGAAAATCAGTTTTAGAAAACTAAAAATTTATACAGGGCGTTCGCAAAATTAGAAAAACAAAAATTGCCTCAAGAGTAAAGCGACCTTATTTTAAGGACAACTACAAAAAGCTCAAATATATCGACAAATTCGGATGAACTTTATAAAATTTATTTTTTTTTCTCCCAACGTGAGGCAAATCTTATGCGCGAGATTTTAAAATTCTTTGGACATGCGATTTTATCGTCACCTCCAGTTTAGTATTACCCGAACGTAATCATACAGGGTGTGCCAAAAATATTAAAATTGTATTTTAAAAAAGGGACATTTTATAATAGTAACTGCAGTTCTAGAAAAATATTACTTACTTATCGGCTCAATGTGAAATCCTCCAGCATTAACACATTTTTCCATTCGTTCGCGAAATTCGTTGTAAACATTGTGAATAATGTCTGTTGTTATCGTAGCAATCCTGGGAATACTAGTTTTTTTAAATGTCAATATCATGTTGCACATCGATGGCATAAACGTTTTGCTTAAGGTATCCCCACAAAAAATAATCCATTGCTGTAAGATCTAGAGATCGAGCTGGGCAGTGTATGAGCCCATAGCGACCTATTCATTTGCTGGGAAAGTGTTGATCAAGCCAATTTTTAACAAGCAGTATACCGTGAGTGTGTAACGTACAACTATAATGTTGGAATATCATATTGCTTCTTCATTTAAAATTGTCAAGTAATAATTTGGGTCTAAAATTACAATCCAGGAAATATGGACCAATCATTTGATTGTTATGGCGCACCAAACGTTAACTTTTTTGAATTTCTAGCTGTTTGTGGTTATTTTAAAATGCGGGTTATGTTTTTATGTAACGACAGTTTTGAGAAGAAATTATCCCGTTTGTGGCAAATGTGGATTAGGCGCTGAATATAATATTTCTATGAAAAATGCGGTGTACATGGCTGTTAGACATACCGCCCAACTCCTCGGCTCTTGCTCTTAAAGAAAGTTTTTGTTTATTACGTACTGATTCCAACACTAAAACTGTTGCAGCATTATCTTCATTGCACTCCCTTTTTTTGGCTTTTTTACCTTCTTCATATCACCAGTCTCATCAAATTTACACACCAAATTTCGTAATGCATTTACAGAAACATGTACTGCAGGGAATTTTCTGTTAAACATTTCTATTGCACATTTATAAGACATTTCTCCAATGCCATAACACTTACTTATAAATACGCTGTAGTCCAAGCATTCTGTCACGGATTAATGTTAAATTTGCAGAAATTATTACCTGGACAAAAAAAATATGACCGTATAGAAAATTAAATTTTAAATTGAGTTTCTTGTTCTTTAAACTCGATCCAATATGGCGAACATGGTTAAAAAAAATCGCAAAGTTGAAAAAAACGGTTTTTCTAAAATAACTAAAAAAATATAGCACGGATTGAAAAATTTTAAATGAGAAAGTTGTAGGTTTTAAAAAGATCTATCGACTGATTTTTTGAAAGTATCGATTGCTTTGTTACTTTTCGAGATATATCGAAAAAACCGTTAAAAATCTTCTCTTTTCTCTTCTTCTATAACTCGTTTACATTTACGTG